AAGTGAAGCAGGGTTGCGACTGGTCAGTGCTTGGATGGGAGATCTCAAGACCTGTTCCTCCTGTGTATCTGAAACTTTGTACCCTTTTTTTTTTTTTTTTTTTGAGACAGAGTCTTGCTATGCCCAGGCTGGCCTCAAACTCCTGGGCTCAAGCTATCCTGCCTCAGCCTCTGGCGTAGCCCAAATTACAACTTTGTACCCTTTGATCAGCAACTCCTCGTTCCCTTTCCCTCTCCCACTCTACTCCACCCTCTAGTATCTGGCATTCTACTCTCCACTCCATGAGTTCAACTTTATTAGATTCCACATATGAGTGAGATCATGTGGTATTTGTCTTTCTGTGCCTGGCTTATTTCATTTAGCATAGTGTCCTCCAGATGCATCCATGTTGTTCAAAATGGCAGGATTTTCTCCTCCTTTAAGGTCGAATAGTATTCCGTGTGTATATATGCCACATTTTCTTTATTCATTTATCCATTGGTGGACACTTAGGTTTTTTCCATGTCTCGGCTATTGTGAATAATACTGGGGTGAACGTGGGAGTGTGGTTATCCCTGCAGCATAATTGATTTCAGTTCTTTTGGGTGTATATGCCCAGCAGTGGGATTACTGGATTGTGGGGTAGTTCTGTTTTTAGTTTTTTGAGGAACCTCCATACCATTTTCCATAACGTCTGTACTAATTTACATTCCCAGCAACAATGTTCTCATCTCTCCACATCCTCTCCAACTCTTGCTGTCTTTCATCTTTTTGATAAAAGCCATTCTAATAGATGTGTGGTGATAGCTCATTGTGGTTTCAGTTTTCATTTCCCTAATGATTAGTGTCACTGATCATTTTTTTCATGTACCTATTGGCCATTTGTATGTCTTCTTTTGAGAAATGTCTGGAACATTTCCTCTTGAGGAATATTAGATTCCTCCAAGGTGCCAAATGAATGAAGCACTAAATGCACGAGACTGAATACATGCTGAGGGCAACAGACTGTAGAAGTGTATTTGAGTTTAAAAAGCCATAAATTTAGAAGTTTTGAAGAAAAACTGATTGCCTCTACTATCTCCCATGTACCTACCATCTGCTCATTCTCGTTATCCAAGTGAGTAAAGAACATTCTTATTATTAAATAAAGAATGGTCTAGGTACCAGTGGTTCCGCCTGCCACACACACACACATCTCCCACTCATGAAAATCTTGGAAGTTGGGTAAATAATGAGAACCTTATATTTTAGACTTTTAGTTGAAATTTGTGTTTTGTATTAGTTTTTTTTTTTTTTAAAAGATAAACCAAAGGTCTTCAGCTGTACTTTCTTTTTAAATTTTAGATAGGCTGTTGCCAGGTGATGGAGCCCTTCGGTTACACCTGATGCATTATTGTGAGACATGTACAGCACCCAAAATGCCAGAGTTCATTCTGTACGCTTTTCATAGCGCGTACCGGAAACTCCAGTGGAAGGACCTGCACCCGGACCAGATGCTCATGGAGGCCTTCTTCAAAGTAAGCCCTTCCCTCCCCGTGTCACAGCCTGGAGAGATCTGGCTTCGAAGCAGCAGGCTGTTCACTGTGGTCATTACGCACAGTGGCAGCGTGTGCCAAAGTGGACCGTGCACACATCCTGTTTTGCCTCAGTCTTGCTCTTGGAAAGCAATATCCCGTGGAAATCATTTCATTGTGTTAATAGATGACTGGAAAATATCTAGAGGATCATTTTTAAAACCCAGAGAAAGATTTTAGTTATGTCAGTCACCCCCTAGATTAAATTTAGTGATAATGTTTTGTGAGTGCATAGTTTGATGACTTGTCAAGCTCAATCTTGGTTGGTGTTTATGTCCTTAGAACTGCCTGTTGTTAAATGTTCTATTAAAGCAAGATGTAAATTGGTGCTCAAGCCCTAGTTTCTGTTAGCAGTTATGCAAGTGAATAATTAGATTGTAGGAGATAAAATGCATTGTAACAACCTATGATGTATCATAATCATGTAAAGACCTGAAATGACCTGAAAAAAGTGCTGATCAATGTGTATGAGTCTTTTCAGTAGAGGCAATAATTACAAAAAGCAGGCAGTGTAGTGTATCTAACATGCCAGTCAGGCATTTGGAGCTGTTTTCATTTTTCTATTTTAAAAAACCCTTTATAATCTCATGTTAGGTTTTTAATGCTAGTTTCAATTCATTTGTTCATAGTCATCAATTAATTTGTGCTTATTCTTAATGTCACATTTATTATTAAGGCAATTTAAGTACTTTGATACAGATCTACAGTTATTTATTATAGTTAATAAAATGTACTCAAGTCTTTTAATGCTTTTAATGAAACTACACCCACACTGCTCTTGTCAGCGAAGCTCTAAGGAAAGCTGAGAGCAGTTGTTTTAGAGAAATACAAGGCTTAAGAATGATTTTATAGCTAGGCTTAGTATATGAGGCCAGCATTAAGCAGATACTTAATTACCATTGTGAACACATGAGAGAAAGTTGGTTTACAGAGCTGTAAGATAGAGTTTTAACTAAGTAAGAGGTGTGACCTTATCTAGATTAAATAGTAGCACAGTCTGCTAAGGGTTGCTGTAGACTCTATTTTCAGGGGTTTATTCTAATGATAGATGGCCCTGACCTACTCAGAACCTGGGAATCTTTTAATTCTTTGTGTCTTGTTGGAGTAATAAAGTGCGCTTTTGTGTGTGTGGTTGAGGGCCAGGATAGAAAACAGATTATACAGAAGGATGAAGAATCGTTTTCTAAAAGGGAAGAGAATTAGTGGTTAGCATAATATAATCATCACCTTATCCCATTGACCGTGATTTTATAAATAGAGTAAAGCTATTTAATCTTCATTTTGAAAGGAAAAATCTGTGACTAGCCATGTTTTATTTTATACAAGTTAGAAATAATGAAATAGGCTTATAAAGGATCTTTGAGGTTTATTATATACTTTATAGTACATTTGCCCCCATCTCTAATATATTTTATGTAGAATTTAAGCATTATGCATTCATCAAAAATTCTAAATACTAATAATGTAGAGACATTTATAATACAACATTACATTAAAAAGACAGTATAAATATTACATATACTAGTGTAGTAGGTCTCGTGGTTCCAAGGACAGTAGCATCAGCTTTCCCTGGGAACTTGAACGTTCCTGCTCCCAGCCCATACTGGGGCAATTAAAAACTCAAGGGGTGGGCCCAGCAATCCATGTTTCAATAGGTCTTACAGGTGGTTCTGGTGTTTTAATAGGTCTTCTAGGTGGTTCTCATGTGCACTTTAGCTTGGGAACTACTGATTAGTAGATCTCAACTTTGTCCTATCCCAGCACATCTGAGGATTCTGATGTACTCACCCCCTGGAGTGACAGCGACTCACTGTGGCAGTGATTCTCCACCTTTGCTGGGGTTAGGGAAAGTCAGTCCTCTCCTATTAAGAATTATTGGAATAGATAATGAAATCCAGACAAGCGCAAAATGCACGTACACACTGAGTGTGGAAAGAAATATATTACAAATATTCATTCTAAATCTGCAAGAGGTGGGATTATGAATGATATGTATAATCTGGGAAAAGGTGTTTATTAAAATATAATTTATGAAACATCGATTTATATACCGTTTCAAGATACGTAGACAGCACAAAGCAAAACACTGATTTTAGTTCGTTTCCTTTTAGGTGGAACGAGGAAGCCCCAAGAGCTGTTTCTTATTTTTGGGGTCTGTACTCTGTGAAGTCAACTGGGTCAGTGTGCTCTCTGATGCCTGGAATCCCAGTCCTCACCCAGAAACCCAGAGCATGATTGTCTGCCTCCTTTTTATGATGATTTTATTGGCAAAGGAAGTTCAGCTAGTAGACCAAACAGTAAGTTTGTGGAGCTTGTGATAAAGACAAGGTTCCTCAGAGCCTCACTTCCTACTACATTGTGGTTTTTCAGTCGTTTCTCTAACACCTCTCATCAGTGTGAATAGATGCTTGGTATATGAGATATGCCTTCAACTAGAGGCCTGATTTTCTTGGTTAGCTCATTAATTAATTGTGAATTAAGAAAGGAACCACACTGATTAATTGATTAATATATTAACCACACTAATTAATTAATTGTTAATCAATCTTATTTTACATCTCATTAAGTCAGTTTTGGCGCGTACCACCAGAACAGAGCGTTCCTTTAAAAACTGATTTCTGAATACTTATAAATCGTTTTCGCCAATACTTTGGTTATTGCTTTCACTGGTGCTCCTAACTTGAGATCTTAACTGTTCTGTACTTATCATAGACCATCTTAGTGGTTATTCCGCCGACGAGTAGGAAACATATTTCTGGGAAAAAGGAGATTCTTCAACTGAAGGAATATGCGTTTCATTTTTAGGATTCGCCTTTGCTTAGACTCCTTGGACAGACAGGCTCACTTTCGTGGCACCTTGTGGACATTGTGTCGTACCAGAGTGTGCTGGGTTATTTCAGCAGTCATTACCCACCATCCATCATCTTGGCAAAGGAATCTTCTGCTGAATTAATCGTGAAGCTCCTAAAAGTATCTGCAGGCCTTTCTATTCCTACTGACAGCCAGAAGCATCTTGTAAGTTGAGAGGGTAGATTAAAAAGGCAGGGAGTATTCTTGGGGGCAAGTAGTAGTATAAGTGTTACAGAGGACAGTCTTGAACCTGGTGACTGCTCAGGAGATAAAGTTGGAGAATGTGTATCATTGTGCACTCATATTTTGGCCTTGTGGATCTTTTAGTTTGATTCTCTCTTTTGGTAAGCCTTTACTTCCTAGCAGTGTTACATGTTGACAAGAGGTCACAAGGATCGGGGGCCAGCAGCAAGCAACTGGTTTCATGACCTGAATGTCACTGGCAGCAGAATAGCAGGGAGAACTGGGCATGGTGGCTCTCGCCTGTAATCCCAAGTAATTAGTATTTAGTTAATGTTGTTATTAATATAGTCAAAAAGGAAGAGTGTTCTACCAGAATTTGGGAGAACACGGGTCCTAGTGAAAATGTTACCACAGATTTGCATACCCCTAGACACAGGGCCCTTGAGCCACCTGGGATTAGGTCTTCACGTGGCTTCCTGATCTGTCCTGTCTGCTCCCTACCCAAGCATTCACTGCCATGCTCCTGGGGAATCCTCAGTTAACACTCCTTGCTTGCATTCATTTGAATGACCCTTTTTTTTTATTTGTCAGGATGCAGTTCCAAAATGCCGAGCTTTCACTCATCAGATGGTTCAATTTCTCAGCACCATGGAACAAAATGGAAAAATCAGCTTAGCAGTCCTAGAGCAGGAAATGTCTAAGCTCTTAGATGATATCGTTGCCTTTAACCCGCCAGGTAAGTGACGAGCGGGAAGCCCATATTCATTCAGTGCATTCCTTTTTGTCTGAGGTATTGTGTGATCAGGAGGATGGCCAGGACACTGGCATTCCTGTTTCCGCAACAGCAATGGTCAGAGAGGTGTGTGGACACCAGGGACACTCAGCCTTGCGGGAGGGGTTGACACTGGCAGTTGCTGGTGTGAGGTAGACTGGACTGAGGGTTAAGCTAGACAACTGGATCTAACGATGGGAAGATAGCAGGAGACCTTCCAGTGAGCAATGTTTCTAGGGGTTTTGGCTCTTAATTAGGAAACCATTTCAGAATTACCTATAGACTTGTAAAGAAACTTTTTATGGAGCACTTCTGCTCCTAGTACTTGGTAGACTAGGCATCCTGACTACCTCTCCTGCTGAAAACGACTAAGAATCCTGGATAAAATGTTTTTAAGAAAGCAGAAATTAAACATCAAAGGACGTGGCAAAAAGTTAAGGAAATCTCAGAGGCTAGAACCTAAGTGAAAGGGGGAACCCATGAAGTAGGTGAAGTACTGAGGCGGCTTTCACCCTGAAGGCTGTTGCTGAACCTTCTTAGGATAGTAGGGGAGGCAATAAAGGCCTGCCTAAGATGGGAGCCTAAAAGGAGATCCCGTGTATAACCCATAGGATGACATCTTTATGGTAAAGACAAGCTAGAAGTAAACCTGTTCCTGTGAGAGGAAAGCCAAGACAGTTATCTGTTGGCCTTGGTGTTGGGTCACATGTCTGTGTTGCAGGGGAAGAGATACCTATTTAGAAAATTGGTGACAAGCTGACCCTCATGTAGTGTTGAAGCAAGAATTTATACTACCTCGATTGTTTAAAAAAAGAAAAGCCCCAAAACAACAACCACCTCAATCTAAGAATTTAGTTTAAGTAGTTCTGGGTTGGTAGTGCCACCAGACACCGGGCAGAAAGTAACCGCAGACCTTGTTTGGAGAAGCCCATCTTCATCTCAGGCCTCAAAGTTCTGAAAAACTCACATTAAAACAAAACAAAACAAGCAAGCAAACAAACAAACAAAAAACTCATGCCAGGTGTAGCGGCTCATGCCTGTAATCTCAGCAGTTTGGGAGGCCAAGGCAGGAGGACTGCTTGGGGCCAGGAGTTCAAGACCAGCCTGGGCAACATAGCAAGACCCTGTCTCTACTAAAAAAATTTTAAAAACTTAGTTGGGTGTGGTG